GGGCTCACTAGGCCGTGATCCCCACAGGAGTAAGGAGTGGAACTGCCCACGGGGCTCACTAGGCCGTGATCCCCACAGGAGTAAGGAGTGGAACTACCCACTGGGCTCACTAGGCCGTGATCCCTACAGGAGCAGACTGCCAGGTCTTCCTCCCACAGAGCGGCTGCTGAGTTCCAACCACCAAGCTTCTAGTTAGGAGCCGAGTGCTTTAACCACTGCACCACCAGGGATCCCTGAGGCACGGCTAACGCTGTTTTTTAACTTCAGTGATGGATTCACAAGTATTCATTCTATTACAGTACAACCTGTGAGAGCCAGAACCTGAGTTTGCTCAGAGAAGGAAAACTCACTTATTTTCCACTAACAGAGAGCAACAGGAAGGTGGTGACCACACCCAGTCAAAGGAAGAAACCTTGTAAAACCTGGGAAAACAAGGTAGGCCCCTCCAAGTTCCGGCTCTCACAAGTTTCACTGCATCCTACTTCATAATTTGCAGGTAGGTTATATGTGTTCTTTTGCACATATCAAGTATTCATAGTGTGGTTGTTTTGTTTTTTGGGTTTTTTGGGGGTTTTTTTAAGGGGAAAGAGATGTTACCAAGTAGACAGACGAGGATCCTGTGCTCCCCTAACCTCACTGACACTTGACTCTCATCCACAAGCAGCATCTCCCCAGAACAGGTGGACACTGGCTTACGCCTCCCACTGCCCTGCCCCCAGCCACCTGCACCACTCACCTGTGGCCCCCATGGAGGACTTGGGCACCTTGAAGGAGCAGCACCGAGAGCAAAAGCTGTTCCCACAGTTACTGCAGCTACGCTGTAGACAAGAGCCCGGGTCCAGGTCAGATAAGTCCCCCGACCCCCAGGTGTCCGGGGCCCCCAGCACCTTCCTCCTTCCCACCAGATGATCCCACCAAGGAACCAGTTGCTACTGTAGGACTGGGGAGGAGGTGCCCAAGTGGGGTAGGAGACCAAATGGGACACCACACAGAGGCTGCTCAAGGCACGGACACAGGGGCGGCAGGAGACAAGATCATCCGAGGAAACCATGGAAAGAAGGCCAAATGGGGTGCCCCCTCCCCTAACTTTCCCCGCAACACAACACTCACAAGCACGCCGCCCTCAGCAAACGCACACCCTCGAAGAGACTCACCCTCTTCTTCAGCACTGAGAAGGTGGCAGTGCAGCCCGCACAGCTCCCTGAGAAAGAAACAGCGCTTCAGGCTCAGCCCAGCCCGTGCCTCCCAGCTCCTGCCTGGCTCTTCTACAGGGCGACTCCAGACACCTGCCCAGCCCAGACTTTCTGGCTGGGAGCAGTGAGCAAGGGAGAAAAGGCTACATCTCGAGCCGGAAGGAGGAACTCCAACTAAGAAAAGACCCCTGAGAATCACCATCTGCAGGCCATACAAAGCTACCAATTCCTGCAGCCTCCCTGAGCTTAGAGGCCCCACCTGCCAATTCAGCAGAAATGCAAGAGCATCAACAGTCTATTCCCGAGACCTCAAACTAAGCTGGCAGGGACCTGGCCTTACCTGGAATGGCCAGGCATCCCATATAGAAATCAGCTCCAACTACCTTAAATGACACCTCCCTGTTGTGACCTTGTCCAGGGCCTCCTCACAAACACCCTGCCCTTACAGGAAGGAAAGAAAAGCCTCCTCAAAACTCAGACTGCTGTTGTCTGTGGTCTAAAGATGGCAGGAGAGACATTCAGAACGGGGAACCTTCCAAAAGACCCAACTGAGCTGGGATAGTGCGGAGGGATGTGTGTGCAGAACACTAGGCACTGTGAGCTGTGGGGGTGGAGGGGTGGAAGCGTGGGAGAGAGAGATCCTGCCCGAACAACCAGAGACAACAGGATGACAAAGCTTCAGGCTGATGGCAGAGGAGTTAACGGCAGCTTAGAAAACAGATGGAAGGAGACGGAGGTGTGACTAGACATGAAGGATGAGGAAGGTGGAGACCAGTCAAGGCTACGTGAAGGCAGCTAGCCCCAACAGGTACCCACCACCCACCACGCTCTCAGACACAGGAGGAAAATTAAAGACAGAAAAGGTGGACTGCAAGGACAGTCTGAGCCCAGGGGTCAGGGGTCATCTAAGCACCCAGGCATGTGCAGGTGAGTGGAGGAAACCAAGATCCCAGGAGGAAAGTTAAAGGCCACAGTAGGCCCTACAGCTTCAACAAGCTCAGAAATCAAACCCAGCGGTAAAGGAGAACAAGGACAGCTCCACAGGCTGCCTCCAGGAACACTAACTATATGGTTCAATGCAGAAATATCCATGAGCCTGGGGAGAAAAGGCAGGGAGCGTTCAGGGCAGGCATGCACATGCTTCCCAAAGGGGACCCGAGAACCCCACCAACTCGGCAGGGGTAAGACGCCTGGAGATTTCTGGACCGTGGACCTGAAGGCCTCCTGTGGTCTGGCCAGGGCAACTCTCAGCCTCAGGAAGCACTACCATCTGGCCCAAGAAGTACAAAGCTCCAGTGGGTCACCAGACCTCACCTCCAGAGAGGGGTCCCAAAGCCGTAGTGACAACTACATGTGGTGCCTTCCTCCACAGTCAGAATTTCCTACAGCTCTTGCTGGAGGGGCCCAGCTGGAGAGCAAGGGGAAGCCTAAGGCCAGGCCACTTAAGCTAAGTGCTCACGGCTTTGTCAGCCTGTCAGAGGGCGGAAGAGGCACATGCCTAGTGGTCATGCCGAACCAGGAAACACGCTGCTCCAAGACTCTGTCTCCTACCCTAAGATCTGAGGAAAGGCAGCCACTCCTGCTCTCTAATGGACAGTGAGGGGACAGGGCAGGGGAAAGGAGGTGCTCCAAGACTGGCACTCTGGCGTGTCTCCAGGGAATCCTCACAACCAGGACCGGCAGGGCCGAGCACCTCAAGGTCAGTCGTATGGTCCAGTAAAAAGGCCATGCACCCAAGTACAGGCTGGGGCCAAGGAGGGTGACCTCAGCCCAGACAGGCACATGGAGGAGAAGATACCCTGCTCCCTTCCAACATCTACCAAGTCCTTCTATTCTCAGTAAAGGTCCTGGCTCACCCATCTTAATACACCATTGGATGATGCCAAGGAGCAGCAAGAGGAGTGAAAGCCCGGGACCGACTGGGCCTGCCAGAATATGGTCACGGAGCTTCCAGGGCAGAGGAAGAGCCCTCCCCACCAGGGCGCTCCCTCAGAAGCCAGAGAAGCAGCTCCTGAGCAGCCTGTCCTCGTCCCTCCCGTGCGCCCCCACCCCCACGCACTGGCAGACGGAATGGAATGGCTCCCAAAGTGCCTCACCTCACCCCAGCCTGCTAGAGCCAGACCCGAGAGCAGACACCTCCCCTCACAGCAGAGAACGTCTCAGGGAAGGGAAGGTGAGAGTCCTAAAGGGTGAAGACAAGAGGCCTAGGAGAAGCAGCACTTCCTGCCCTTGCCATCCTCCCCAGAACCTGAGAGGCCTCTGTGCTCCTGGCAGAGATCAGATCATCTAACCCCAAATCAAACACAAAACCGAGACAGACCTAAACCACAGGGAGGAAGTGGAAAGAGAGCTGTGACACCGTAGGGGATTGCAGTCAATGTCACGAAACAAAATGGGTAGGAACTGCTGTATGGAACTTTCACCAAAATCACAATAAAAATTAAAAAAAAAAAAAAAGAGAGACCTAAAACCAGGACACTACCAGACACTAGGGCAGAGGGGTCGTCAGGAGAACCAAATCAAACCCTCAGGATCCCAGTCACAGCTCTACCGCTTACTGCTTACTGCGGAGCGCCTTCGGCAAATCACTCATTTCACCTCGAGTTACTTGTCTGCAAAACTGAAACACCTAAGGGCCGTTACTTAAAATTCCCAGATTATCAACACATCATTTACTGGAGCAAGAGTATTACTTCTCATGTGGTGTCATCTGGGACTTTTGGAATCTGACCGTCCTGTCGTTCCACCATCAGGATCAAATGCAACTGTGGATGTGACGGTGCACTGCATCTACAAGGGGCCTCACAGAAGCCAGTGATCGTCACAAATAAAAGAAAGGGGTCATCTACGCAGCACAGCTCTATTCTGACACACACTGGGTTGCTGTGAGTCAGAATCGTCTCGGCAACAACCAGCGGTAGTGTATCCCAGGGAGGGAGAGGCGGGAAAGCAACTGGCTGAGGGGTGGACAGGGGGTGTCAGCCAACACCAATGCTTTACTTTTCAAGCGAGGTGGTGGAGTCATGGGTGTTTGTTATATTACACTGCACACGTTCTACGTATCATAAATGCTGCTTAATGCTTTTTTAAAGGAAGACATTCTAAGTAGAAGATAAGCAAGGAAGGTGGCTTTTCTGGGAGCTGCTTAACTCCATGGACGGGAAAAACAGAAAGAAGAAAGTGATCATCAACGACCAGGAGACGGTCACACAGCAGAAGGAATAACATGCCCGTGACCTCTAGACAGGCAGGCCCTCGGAGGCCCTGGGTCAAATTCCCCAAGAGAAATCCCAGAGGTTTCTCCCGGCACCAGAAACAGCCCTCACCGCTGACAACAGGCAGTGCAAGGCTCTTCTTTAGGGCCACAGCTGCTGCGGGCCACCGGTCACCCGAGGTTTCCCCACAACTTCCTCGGCCTCAGCCCCTGGCTCTCCTGAACTGAGCCAGGACTAGAGTCCTGCTGACACCGAGGTTGCCCTTCTCCAAAGATGCCTCCCTCCACCCGTCCCCACCCCCAAGTAAAAGGAGGACTCGCTGATCTCCCAACACAGCTGAGAGGAGGGACTTCAGGGCCCTGCCATGCACAGAAGATAGTTTGCTTCAACTTGCTCCACGTGGATCAGAAAAGCTGAGGCAGGCTCTCAGGAATGTGCAGAGTGGGCCAAGGGCGTCCACTTAACGGCACCCACTCACTCAGTACTTACTAGTGCCAGCACTTAATAAGCATTACCTCCTTTGAGCCTTCTAACAACCTCGTGAGGTAAGAACTAGTAACATCCCTTTACAAAAGGGGAAAGTGAGGCACACAGCAGTTCAACAATTTGCTCAAGGACCCCCAGCTGAGCTGATTTTGCAGCAGCAGACAGACTCCACACTCTGTCCCTAACCATCCTGCTGTGTTCCTGAGATTCTGTCTCCGGAAGACACTTCCCCACGGTCCTGGGGTGGCATTTCCAGAACTGAGTTTCTCCTTCTCCCACAAGGTAATGTCCAGTAAGGACAGAAGAACAGGAAGCAACCCATGCTCACTACCTCAACAGGCCGGCTGGGCGTCTGCCATCTCTTCAGGTCTCATGGGCATACCTTAGGATCCCTGCTCTCCTCACAAACCGGCTCCCACAGCTCTAAGCCCCGGCCCCGCCCCGGCCCCGCCCCGGCCGTACCAAAGTTGTTGGTTGGGTAACGCTTGCGGAGCCGCTCAGTGAGCCGCGACACCTTGCTGCGCAGCACCTCGTTTTTGCTCAGGAACCCGTTGTCCTGCAGGGCCAGCTCGTCCTCTGCTGGGCACGGGGCGCCCTCGTCATCCTCCTGTGGGGAACAGCTCCTTCCAGCCCTGCCCACGTCTGGGCAGGGCCCTGGGACCCACATGCAGAGGCACCCAGCACAGCAGACCATGCAAAGTGCGGCCGCGGCTGGCTCGGCCTCCCTCTCCCCACCCTGTCCCCAGTCCCTGCCCACCACACCACTGCACCTACTTACCAGCACCACCAAGTGGGTCTCCTGCCTCACAAGGTGCAGGGGAGAAGGAGAGAAAACAGAGACAGATAGCAAGGAAGAGAAGCAGCGGCTGCTGAAAGGAGGGCACCTTCAGGCTAAAGGAAACTGAGAAGGGCTGCTCTGAGTTCTGTCCGAGCATTTCACGGGTGATGTTAAGAGACAGCCATAGCAGCATTCGGCCATCAAAGCAGCCGGGGAAAAGCTCTACACTACTGTTTTCAACCTGGGTGAAATTAATTTAGTGGGTCATAGTTCTACTGGATAGAACAGAACAGAATCTACAATCCTATGTGAAAGTCTTGGAGAAATCCTACAGTAGTTGGACATCAGATCCCTCCATGGACCAGGCCAGTGCAAGCCTGAAGCAGGCAAGGTATAAATCATAGGCCTGGGGAGAGATGTCAGGGGGATCACAAGACCCCCACTTTTCTTTCTCATTTTACAAAGAGACATAAATAAGGAAAGTAAGAAAAACCAGAAACATGCCAATAAACAGCAACTGCCACAAGGCCCCGGGGACTGGGGACAACAGAAGTGCCAGGACTGTGTGTTAACTGTGAGCGTCAGCCTTGTCCAAAGGGGACAGTCACTCCCCAGCTACCCCAGCTGCTGCAGACTCAGGACTACCAGAGCTTCTGAGTTTTCAGAGACACTGAAAATCTAAACTTTTTATGGAAATGTCTCCATTTTAAAATATTGGCTAAAAAATTATTTTTAAAATTTTGCAGGCCAAATAAACACTTCCGCAAACTACTAGCTTGAATCACTGTGCTAACTTCAAGGGGACAGTCTAACTTTCCCTGACCCAACACTGTCCCACAAAGGAGCCCCTCACGGAACTCACTCTGCACAAGTGCCAGCAGAGATGCAGGACCGCGCCCGCCTCCACATCTGCCTCCTCCGCATCACAGGCGCCCAGCCACTGCTCTAGCCGGGAGGGTAGATCTTCCAGCTCCCCCAGCAGGCCAGCTCGTAGAGGCTTCCAGAGCCAGCCTTGCCCTGGGTACCCAGGTCAGGCGACAGACCAGCACCACAGGAAAGGTGGGAGCCCAGTGGCACCCTTTCAATCAGTGATTCTAGCTCAGGGCAAGTGTCACCTTCTCATGTGGACACAGGAGAATTTGAAAAGCAGGCTTGGGATACCGGAAAACCACAGGCCTCCGGGGCCACCCGACACTGGTCGGCAGAAGGCACTGGGGAAGGGCCACCCACCTCAATCGCATCTTTAAACTCCTCGTCTGGCTCGGCCTCCTCGGCCTCCTCCACACTGCCTGGCGTGAGGTCCTGGGAAGAGAAAATCTCTTACATAAGGTCAGGGTGAGAGGGATGGCAGCCCTTCTCCCGAGGGTAAGGGCCACCTCCCTGAGCCAGCATCCAGGCTTCCCAAGATCCCTGTTCCTGCCCCAGAGGAAATGCCAGAATGTAAGAAAGCAGTTACAGACGCGAGAACAGCCTCCAGCCTGCTGGCAGGGACGGGAAGATGGGTACCAGGCCACACCTGGACTAAGGTGGTACGGGGCTTGGTGGCTGAGAGCACGGGCTCTAGAACCACAGGACCACTTACCAGCCCTGTGGCCTTGGGCAGCCCCCTGTGCCTCAACCTTCTCCTCTGCAGAATGAGAACAATCTCATTCTCATACACAGCCTACACCTTTGGGCTATAAAGTCCTTCGGACAGCAGCTGACACCAAGGAAGCACTTGACAGAACAGCTATCAATACCTGGTGGCCCAAATGGTTAAGCACGTGGCCACAAACCAAAAGGTTGGTGGTTCAAAGCTACCTGGAGGCACCTTGGAAGAAAGGTCTGGCAATCTGCTTTCAAAAGGTCACAGCCACAAAAACTCGATGGAATGCAGTTCTACCCTGCACCTGTGGGCTCACCATGAGCCAGCACTATTTCCCTGGCAACCTTCTTTTTTATTTATTACTATAATTATGATTATTCAGCACCTCAGAGGTAATCAGGCCCAGAAAGCAGCAGCCACAAGGACAACACAGGCCAGCCCAGGAGCGACAGGATACAGACAAGCTGGTCCACAGGCAGGCCCACACCTGCCTATGGCAGGCTCTTCCCTGGTGGGTGGGGGCGCTCACCTCTGTGGGAGTGGGGGCAGGTGTGCTGTCTGGCAGAGCACCCCCTCCCCCAGCATCCAGTGGCAGGCTCTCCAAGGCGCTCTCTTCCTGCTTCAGGTTCATCCGCTGCTGCAGAGATGCTCTGTACTCAGACACCACTACCCAGGGCGAGAGAGGTGGGCAGGGAAGGGAGAAGTGGCATGCAGTCAGGGTGCTTTGGTCTCTTCCTCCACACCTCACCCTCTGCTATAGGAGAGTCGCCCTCCTAATGCTGAGCAAATCCCCTAACCTCTCTTAGCCTCCTAAACAGAACACAGGTCCCACCACCTACCCCTCATGGGCCTGTTACAGAGATTAAATGAGGTAAAGGGTGAAAAGTATTGAGCACAGTGCCTGCCATATAGTAAGTGCTCAATAAAGTGGCTTCTGGAACAACCCTACCACAGGGCAAGAAACAAATACAGCGGTCACCCAAACATATGGAAGGCCAGGCCTCTGAAACCCAGGCCCTCTCCAGACAGCTCACTGTTTCAGACACCAGATAGCAGATGGGTACGCTCACACAGCTGTGACAGCAACTCCAGGTGGCTATAGCCCATGGGGTGAGTAGCAGCACCAGGAAATCATCCCTCCCTTGCCTCCCAGAAGCCACAGTGTCATGCAAGCAGTGCTTCATCTGCCCTGGGAAGGGATTAAGGACCCTTCCTGCTGCAACTTCCCCTGTATCCCACCAAACATGCATAAGATGCAGAGCCCACTGGAGGCCTGAGGGAGTATCCTAGTATGGTGCTGCCCCCTTGTGGCTGACATAGCAATCACATCTGTTAGCAGTGCAGAGGAACCAAGGCAGAGCCTAGGAGCTCTGGTAGCATAGTGGCTAAGTCTCTTGCCTGCTAACCAGACAGCTGGCGGTTCAAACCCACCAGCCACTCCTCGGAAGGAAAGTTGGGCAATCCTACTTCCGTAGTGATACTGCCTCGAAAACCCAAGGAGGGGTCACTATGAGTCAGGGCCGACTCGACGGCACATAACAACAACAACAAGCAAACCAGCAGAACTCGCCAGGACCTCACTCTCCCAGGCTCTACCAGCTTACCTCGGAAGAACTCCACATTCCCCAGGAAGAGTGTGCTGTTCAGAAGGGCGAGGACCCAGCATAGCGGCAGCAGATACAGCACGCAAACTGTGCCCAGAAGAGCCCCATAGAACCTGCATCGACAGGGAGGAACCACAGCATCAGAATGTCCTAAGGTCAGAAAGAAACAGGTCGGGAACACACCCACACAGGGCTCCGGCAAAAAAAAAAAAGAGCTGCTAATCAAACGCACCGCAATAATGTTGAAAAGGAACGATTTACTGCTACCAACAGGTCACGGGTCACAAGCTGCTAACCAGTGATGCTGCTGTGGCCACGAAGTCCTGCTCTGATGCTGGGGGCACAGAATCCGACCCCTCCTCACCCTGCAGGCCCGACACTCGGAGTCCAGACTCAGAGAGACTTGGACTGGAAACCAGCTCTGCTACTTCTCCCTGTGTCACCTCCCCTTGCCCCTTGCTCTGAGCTTCACTTCTTCCGTGTGTGAAATGGGGAACAAAACAGTGCCTACCTCCAGGGTTACTATGAAGGAAGGATGCACGGAAAGCGTTGGGCACAGTGCCTGGCACAAAACGAAGGCTAAACAGATACTAGTGGTGACTGCTATTCATATAAACAGAACTCCAAAACTATTCAATCCATTTGATCAGTACTCTCATCCTTTAATCCATTCCAAGAAAAAAATTTCAAAAGATAAAGCTAAAACCCATCAGAATACTCAGTGCAGGGTTAATGAAAAGTAGAAATTGATTAAATGTTTTTGTAAACTACATATAATGATGCAGTAAAATATATACTAAAATATATTAATCCAGATTACAAATACAGTAAAACCTGCAAAAGCCAGAACCTGTGTAAAGCAGAAATCTGCCAGAGAAGGAAAATTCAATTATTTTCCACCAACACAAGCAACAGGAGAGTGATAAAACCGCACTCTGTCCGAGGCAGAAAACTTACAAGACCTGGGAAACAAGGCAGCCCCACTGAGTTCCCACTCTCACAGGTTTCACTGTAATCCAAAGAAGATGGGGCAATCTACTTCCATAGTGATACTGCCTCGGAAACCCAAGGAAGGGTCGCTATGAGTCGGGTCCGACTCGACAGCACCTAACAACAACAACAACATATAGCATCAAAGAAAACTAGCTATTATATGATAAGTGAAAATAAAATCTCTCACAAGACTATGAAGTTATGTGTCTATAAAGGATGTGCATATCATAAAGTCTAAAAGACAAACCAGACGAGAGATTAGCTGCTATGTCAGGGTGGCAGATGACATGATGAGTCTCTATCATCTCTAAATTCTTCTATTACAGGCAGTCCCCAACTCACGACAGAGTTCTGTCCCAATGACTCCAATATGAGTCAGTTCTGACCTAAGCTGAATATTTATTTTTCAGTTTTCATTATTATTTTTTATTATCTTTATAAATCTAATCTTTGAACATCTGAGAATGATTAACATGCTGCGACAGTGGCTGCAGTACATATAACTAACCATAATATTAAAAAAAAAAGGAGTCTCGTAAGTGGTTTGATGTAACTCAAAATATGCCATTAAGTCAGGACTACTTGTAGGAAAAAAAAAGCCACGTAACACCTCATGTAAGAAGCCAGTGCATTCGTGAGAGCCCACAGCCTATGTGCAGATGAACACAGGAGAGCTTAGGATGGCCCTCCCCAGAGGTGGGAGGGGTAAGTGCCTCTCAGGGCAGCTGGTTTTGCTTGGTACTCACGCTGCAGGTTCCCACAGGGCAGTGGTGCAGGGGGAGGAGAGGGACCACTCACTGTGAGGACACGACGGGGTTCTCCCAGCGCAGCACACGGTAGGCAGCTTCACAGGTGCAGCACAGACGGGCCAGGAAAGCCTCCAGCTGGATCAAGCTACAAACACGGGGCATCTGTGAGTGGGCAGGCACTGGCCCACCCGTCCACACACTGTGACAGACGCTCTGGGCCAGCGGTGCCTAGCATTCCACGTGCACAGCTGGCTAGGGATGGCCCACTCTCTTCAAATATACCGGAGGGGTCCAGAGGAGAGCTGGGGAAAGGAGTATGGCCAAGCCATCCCTCCTTCACACAGATCAGTCCCCTTTCTGGAGCTCCTGATATGAGGTGAGGGAGCCCTGGTGACACAATGGTTAAAGCACTCAGCTGCCAAACAAAAGGTCAGTGGTACAAACCTACCAGCAACCATTCCACAGGAGAAGGCCACAGCAGTCTGCCTCTGTAAAGATTACAGTCTTGGAAACCCTATGGGGCAGTTCTACAATGTGGAACAAAACTCAAAATCATTTGGAAGAAAAAAAAAGGGGGACCAGGTTTGCTGGTCTGATA